TGATGGAAACCAATATGCATGTTAATTTTTTTATTCCATTATTTCTATACGGTTCCGCAGCAAGTTCAGTAAAAAAAGGTGCTGAATTTATTGAATTCATGTAATTTTTCATTATTACCCTTTGAATTAGTTAAAAAAGTGGTTGAAGGCTGGATTAGTTGTTATTTTTAATATAAAAAGGGTAAAATAGGCATTGGGAGTAAAATTCAAATAATGATTTGCCTATGGTACACTTAACATTGCATAAAAAATTTAGAAGGGTACCCAGTGAGTGATAGGTCAGACACAGAAGGTTAAAGTTAAGTGGGCATAATTGAACTTACAAAGAAGTTGAAAAAATTTTACAATCGAAAATTTACGTCAAAAAAATCATACCCCATGTAATTTTACATCCGAAAATTTACATGAGATATGACTTTTTCGGATGTAAAATTTTGAAAATTTTGATGTTATATTTCATATAAAATTTTCTAATAAAATGATGAAAATTATATTGAGAAATTTGTATCGTAAAAATAAAAATGTAAATGAAATAATTGAATTTTTTCAAAAAAATGCGTGTTAGACACATTTATTTAAGATGCATGTTTAACATTGTTTTAACTATTTTCGACATCTGTTTNAATGAAACAATTGAATTTTTTAAAAAAATGCGAGTTAGACGTCTTTCTATAAAACTCACGTTTAACGTATTTTTGACTATTTTCGATATTTGTTTGGACTATTCGATATGCCTATAATGTAGTTCTCAAAATAAGTTTTGAGATAACATAAACAATTTGTATATTCGATTAGCGTAAGATTGTCGGAAAATTTTTAAAGTTAGCATGTTATCGAATTTTCGAAATACTAATTTTGAACGGCTTACTTTGACAAGTCATAACATTTTGCTACGATTGATAGTTTTGTACGCCATTAACGACGTAGGAAACTAGACCATGAGTACTTCGAAATGGTATTAAGAATGCAATATTTCGATTTTGTTTTACATCCCATAATGATTTCGAAAATTGAAACATAAACATAGAAAATTTAATGGTGAAAAAAAAGGGGAGCGAAGTTGGGGGGTCACGTGACCCCCCAGGCCACCCCCTGCATCCACCCATGGACCCACGTGATGGTGCAAAAAATCAATTTTTCGAGTGAGATAGCGCTCCCAGACGGGCTTAGTTTATAACCTAAAGCACACCTGATACAAATGTCCATCCTCAACTGGGAGACTTACATTTTAGGCATGTCAAATTCGATGAACATTAATTCTCCTTTACTGCATTAACCACGTAGCTACCTGATTATTCATCATTCATGGATTCAACACATTCACGTCACACCTTGACTCTGCTGGCCATGCCATCAAATAAAACCATAGCAGCATCTCAGCCTTCTTCACATCTAACAGTCTATCTCATTCGTCAAACATTAAACCTGAAACAACATAAGTACCTGATTTCTCTCCTAATGCACATGAGTGAAAACTTATCAAATGAATCTTTAGGAAATCTAGCAGAGAGCTTTAAACAGCATGCTATGGTGTGACAAGGGGTAACAATCTTTTAGTGTCTCTCTACAGCTGGATAAGTAACCTGATAGTTCGTTACTGAAAAAAAAAAACTCTTGGAATTTGGTTCCTCTGCCTGCCAACAGACCTATAGTGGGTGTAAATGGGGTTTTAAAGTGAAAATGGTTTCTGGAGGAACCTAAGCTAGGTTAAAAGACGTTACTGGAAATATAGGAGCTCTGCATCATATTACATCACCAAGACCATAAATTGCCTTTTGAGTCAATAAAGTACATCAGTTTATGCAATCTCATCGTGATATTCATTGTAAGGCTGTTAAAAGAATTCTAAAGTACGTAAAAGGCACTATTGATTTTTCATAAAACAACACATTTTCTCCTTAAGAGGATTCTCAGATGCTGACGACACATATGATCATGATAGTAGAAATTCAATTTCTGGTTTTTGTGTTCATTTGGGAGATAATATAGTCAGCCGGAATTCCAAAAAGCAGAAAACTATCTTGAATCTAGTACTGCGGCAGAGTTAAGAAGTTCAGCTATTCTGCTGAAATTATATGGTTACATCATCTACTGAAAGTTGGTTCAAAATGCTGGTTTTGATCAAATTTGACCAATTAGTAAGCGAAACATGTTAGTCGATTATGAGAGTTCACATGGTCAGCCCTAGGCGATAAATTATTATCATGCCCTTAAATATAAATTTTTTAGTAAGTATAGAAGTCTCTTTAATACCCACGATGATTGACTCAAATTCAGTTTCCCTATATCATCATTAGAGTTACATTATAAGTCAAGCATAATTAAAAATTGCATTCCACTTTTTCCAATTGCATATTTGTATAAAGTCTCCACATGTTATATTTTGTTGGAATAACTACTTGTATGTGTTAAGCTGCAAGCCATATTTCATTTTGCATGTACTGTGAATTATGATTGTGCTACATGTACATAAAAATTTACATAATGATTTAACAACATATGATGTGTCGGATTTAATTGGATCAAAATCTCATCAATCAAATAATTTCTCCACTTATATTTTCAAACCTCATCAAATAATTGACCGACCACTCACATTGCATGTGGGTTCCGACCTCCCATGTATGTGTTGTGTCATCTCCTATGCCAAGCATTATGTTCATGTAGCAAAACTCTATATTGGCGTTGGCTACTAAAGCCACTTTTATTTTAGCGTTGGCTTCTTCATGCATTAAATAGCCACCTTTGCATTTAATGCTAAAGATTGAATTTTCAATCATTAGTCGTGAAGTTAAAGGAAATGCAGCCAATGAAATTTTGGTTCGTAATTAATAAGGTAGGTGGCAAATTTCCCTATAGATAGAGGATGAAGCAGAAGATAACACGTCCAATTTTGTAGAGAGGGATTGAAAGCATTGAGTTATCTGCTAAATACAGTGGAGTAAAAAAATAATTAATAGAATGATACATAATTCTAGAGAGAAATATACTAATTTCTCCCTAATGTTTTCTACACAATTTCTCCTATTATGAGAGATATTAGTTGTTATTTCCTTGTGCTTAGAGAGAATGTTATTGCAATTTTTTTTCTTATTATAGTGAAATCCTTTTATACATGCCTGTGAATGTGGCCTAAATTGGTGAATCATATAAAATTTTGTATCCATTTTTTGTTGTATTTCTCTCA